TAGTATACATCCATAATTTCTAAGGCAGGCAGGTATCAGTTAAGAGGCGTACTTGTTTATAATCGTTGCGAAGAGTGAAAGAACTTCTGATTCCCTAGCATCAGGCACATTCCTAGCATAGTCACCAAGCACAGATTCCATCATTGGTGGCACAAATTGTTTCCCTATATGTGGCTGGTCTTCAGCTTTGTCTAAAAAGGTTTCTATCAGCTTAAGTGTTTCCCTCTTAACAGATCTGTACAGCAAAGCATTGCAATATATCATTAATTCCAGTTTGTCACATAAGAGAGATCAAGAAGTATGTCTTTGATGCTTAAATCCATCCAAACCTTAAGAGTTTTACAAAGGATGTCTTGGAAGCATATGGGCCCCCATCAGTAATGTTGGTTGATACAAGCTCACTGTACATTCTGGTGCAGCCATGAAAAAAAATGAACATGCAAGTAAAGTAACAAGAGAAAAAGTACTATAACTTAAAAAGGCTATATAATTGATGTATTACCTGTATACATTCAACATATCCAAGAAGATCAAGGAAATTTGGGACAAGAAGTATGTTCCCAGTGAAGTAGCAGCACTTGTATTAGTCTGCAGGGGAAACACATGTTAATAGTTGCACCTTGCAATCAAATCAACATTAATCTTAACATCAATAGATGTACCAACTAAGCTATTATAATAATATGATTTCACTTGACAATATGATAATGCATCGTGAGGAATAGGTAAGAAACAGACCTGTAAGATGTTAAGTACTGTACGTATCACACCTGGATCCTTGAGGAATTCTACACTTTGGCGTGCCTGTCCTATGATCTCTGCCCATTTCTACATTATGAAAGGGAACAGTTTTAGCCAGCTATGTAAAGAAAAACTTAGCAGACACATTTTTATTTAAAGATACCTGGTTCGGGAGTGCCATCAACCTCTGGAGATATTCATCTCTCTTCTGAGGATCTGATTCTGCTTGGATCATATTACCAACCTGGATACAGAGAAACAATGAAATCGCAACGAGAAATAGCTCTTGAATTGGAACAGTAGTAATGCATCAGGAAAACTAACTGATTCGTAAAATGAGTGAATTTGATGAGGCTCAAGATCTTGAACAGTTGTTGCAAGGCCTGTTAGAAGTTCAGATACAAATGGTTCACTCTCTCCAACCTGAAACCGAAAATGAACTATAACTAAGTTTTCATCCAGGAGACAATGGAAGAATATAAAAGAACATAGAGACACATACCTGAACAATAACAAATTTACGCTTGCACTTCTGAACTATTTTCAAGAATGTATCACAGGCCATGTCCTGAAACAGAAACATAAGCATTAAGCATTTTCAATTGGAAAGAATACTATGCAAGAATAGTCAGTTCAAAAAGAAGTCAGATGCTAGCTTGACAGATTATAGATGAACTACTGCACCATGGACCCCACGAAAAGCAACAACGTGATATATATTTGCGACCAATATAATCTTCAAGAACTTTGAGGATGTTATTCTCGGATTTTAACAGTGAATACTATATTATTTAATCTGAGATTCCAACGGGAAACTGAACTTCAAAAATTCAAAGTTTGGGATGTGCTACCTGAACACCAGGATGTGTCTCATGCATGAATTCAAACAACTTGTTCACAACAGTCTTCAGAAACTTCCAGTGTGCCCTTAAGAATCTTGGATACTGGCCAACGACATACCTGCCCAAAAAACCACAGCAGAAAAAGGTCATCTTTCAGTTCAGTATGCATAAATCTTACTGAAGCCTTGAGAAAAATAGAAAATTTCACACGGTAGAAGTACGTCATCCAGTGCAAAATTCAGCTGTAGTATATGTTTCAGTATATGAAGGAAGAAACTTACATGATGTTGCTCGCAATAACAGCTTTATTATCTTTCCCCTTGGTAATTTCACATAAATTCAACAAATCACGGATGACCATCACCAAAAATCTGTTTTCCTGAAAAAGACACCGATAAGCTCAAATCATTCGTTGGCACAGAAAACAACTAACACCAAACTTGAAAGCGAATATAGTATACTAGAAAATATAGTATAACACCAATAGAAGGGAAGGTACTGCATCACAAACAAGAATGTCCATAATTATGAATAGAAGATAATAAAAAGAGTGAGGCTGAGCTCTAGCAAACATTTTACCTGATCTTCTGCCATAGATCCGGAAATAGACCCGATTGCCCAGCACAAAGTGTTCAGATTGTTCCATGCCCACTCCTCCCCGCTTAATTGTTTGTTTAGCTTCCTCAACATCTTTAAGAGGAAAAATCAGAAGTTCACATCAGCACAACAGGATGAAAACAGACGAAAGACAGCTTACCTATGCATCAGCAAATCTCATATCTAATAACACATCCACATTTAAATTACAATATTTAGGGTACTACTGATTGCTCTTTCTAGAAAAAGGAAAAACTCAAAGAATTTCAAAAACACCATAGTAGATCAACTGTTAATGCTCTATATTTTTCACAAATCAATATGCATAGACCAGTATCATCATGGCAAACACGGTACCTGCTTCTCGGTATCATCATGATCAAGGTGTGAGAGGTAGATTAATGTCTCCCGCATTATCTGCAATTGTTGAAACAGAGAGGATAACCAAAAGAGTAGAACCCAAATAAAAATAAAATTTCCATCAATTATATCATAGCACAGCTGGTATATATCTAATATAGCTGAGAAGAGCATTAAGAACTGGATAAGAATCGGTACCTTATACTGGACAAGAACATCATTGTCCTTCATAGTTTCACGAACTATGTTCCCATTTTCATCTTCAACAATAAGCACTTCTTCAGGCTTCGCCATGCGGTTTATCATTAACCCTCTTAATTTGGACATTGGGTTAGAATAAAGTTGACGCCGCTGCATGACTTGAGAACCAAGACCATCAACCATACCAGGAAGGAAAGGCATCTGGGAATGTGACAGTAAATGCCCAAGGTGGGTGAATAACAACATCAAAGCAAGGAAAGTTCTACCAATAAAATATACAACTATAGTATCCTGCAAGAATTAAAAAAATGATCCATAATAGTCAAGGAATCCATCCTACCTGTAATCCCATCAAGCCTACACTTAATGCCGGGTTATCAGAATTATGATGTGCATCGAACAGCTCCAAAACCAATGAGTTCCAATAGTCCAAACAAACCTGCTCAGTCCACAAGCAAGCAGAAAATGTCATTTTTCAGACCCCAAAGCAAATAAGAGCATTAGTAAGGAAAAAATGAAACACGCAAATGTATCATCAGGAATAATATTACCAATGGCAATTCACATACCTTAAATACTTCAGTGTCATCGACATATGATATATTGATGAGATATTCGAGACCCGCAAGTAACAAAGCGACTAGTTCTGGCGCTGATTCTAAGACTCTTATATGAAACTGCAGATATAAAATGAAGTAAATAAGAAGTAGATAAGSAACAATAATTACTGGAAGCATTAAACACAAACCGTGAATCATCATTATACATATCCAGAATTCCAAAAACCCAACATTAGATACGTGGCTCAACAAAGAGGAATATTTACCTTGAAAAACGAAGTGAAAAACAGTGCCAAGTTCTGGATAAATGCCTAGAGGTGACAATAAAAAACAGCCATGACCTTGATAAGTTATTCAAATCAGCGAGCTGCCTCGAATCCAAGCAAACAAAAAATACTTACTTGTTCTTCACCACTTCCGCTTGAATATGCCTCAGGAATATTTGTACTTGGTGGGAGAATTGCCTGCAGGCATGAGAACAAGTGTAGAGCATCAGACAAGAAGCCAAGCATGAAGTAGACCAAAATTACTACATTACCTTGTTAGAAATGTAAACGAAGTATCAGAATATCAATGAATTAAAAAAAAAGTTACACAAGAAGTGACAAATTTACCTGCAACTGCCCTATAAATATGGTGTACATTTTGACATACTGGACATTGTAGAAGTCCCCGAAATTGAGAACTGCAACCTGCCAGACAAAATTCGAGCCGATAGAAAATAAATAATACATTCAAATGATAACAGGCAAAGCTGAACTAGAAACTGAAGTACCTCAGTTAAACATTGAAGAGTGAGGTTCCTATATGCTGGCACTGGAAAGAATTTGAGGAGGGTCTCAAGCTGTAAACCACCGGAACAGATATCAGAAGATCACAATTGTGGTACCAATTAACATCATCTATCTTTTTTTCTAGGTATATTACCAAAGGAGACTCAAAAATATAGCCCAACGGAATCCAGGAAAGATAGGCGTGCAACGCAGACAGTGTTGCACGTATAAGATCCTGTCTTTGAGAAGCTGAGAGGACATATAGGCATAACTCATGAATGAGTTTAAACTCGCTGCACATAAAAAAAGCAAAAATAAATTAAAAAATGATAGAAAAAGTCAGTTAGCCAGCATAGACAAGATACTTAGGTTGTACAAAAATTTAATATTTCATTAAGCTAAATTTATGATTCTTTGAAAAGTTTGACATGCCTGTTTAGAGATTGTTTCAGCTCTTTAATCTTCTGCAGAGTCATCTCTCCTCTTGAGAAATCAAAAACCTCTTCGCTTAGAAGCTAACAAAAGGAAGATATGTTATTGTTTCCAGTCACAACTGATAAAAGGATCATGTAAAAATTCTTACTTTCAAAATGGACATGCAATTTTCGCAGATAGTTTCGCTAGTTTTAGCAGCCGCAACTAGATCGGGGATGAAGCTTGTCCACTTAGCCGGCCAATCATGCTTCACTATCTGTGCATGTATCATAATATATGTTATGCCAGAAGATCAACAAAGTCTATGGGTGAGAATGATATCCGTAAATCCTTAGCTATCAAACCAAAAAAATAATCAGGCAGTGCTGAAGATACCTGAACCAGAATGACATTTAGCTTGTTTAGATAGAGCCTTTCCGATCTGAAAGATGCTTCATTACTCGAGAGCTACAAGGTAAACACATTGTTAAAGCAGTTCTAACCTAGCTATTCAGTTCTATCCAGAGAAAAGCCTAAGGCCTCCAAAAGTATATACCTGCACAATGACCTCTGAGATATAATTTTTCATTCCATCTCGCTGTTCAACAGGGAGAGCATTCCATCTATACTTTATCACACCCTCTAGAACCTGAGAGTGGATGCCAAAAGAATATTTGTTTGTCAACTATCTCAGAAGATATAGGGAACATACTAGCATTTGACCCGTGCACGGGTATTTTTAGCAAAAAAGACTACATATTCCACTGTATTTTGACTCTATTTCATTAATTTATTAGTTTTTTTAGTAAATTATAGAGCTCATATAGGGATACATCAACACTTGACAATTGAACGATTACTGATGG